ACCCCACCCTGTACATTACAGAGACCTTCTGGCCTTTCCTCTGGGCAGCGTTTCTCCCTTTGGCTTCCAGACTCTTCTTGACATCCTCCCAACCCAGAGGCCACCCCCTCCCTCCTCTCCACTCTTCTCTCCCTCAGGGGTTTCCTGCTTCTCTGGCCTCCTGCCCAAGGCTGGGCCCCCACTGGTCTGTCCCTAAGTTGCCCCCCAGGAAGCACCTCCCTACAACAGCCACAGTTGACACCATTGTCCCTGCCCTCAACCTCAGCTCCGTCTCTTCCTTGGAGCACCTGTGCTGAACCCCCACACAGATGGCTCCACTCTGCCCTCTGCCCACTCGCCATGACCGGGTGGGAAGGGTTTAGGATTCACTACTGGGTCTTCCAGGCTGATGGGATCGGCCGACCCAGACAGAGGCTAAAGAGACTAGCACATTGCAGGAGGCTTTTTAACAACAAGAGTTAGCACAACAGGCAGTGTTTGACTGACCTCTTGATTAATCAGAAAAGTGAGTTAACAGAGCATCTCTGAGGATTCCAGTGAATTGGGTTTTTATTGTGTGCATACACCTGAGGAGAAAACATGATAAAATGGGCGCAGAAAGACCTGGCTTCAAATCCCAGCTCTTCTCCTAATTAGCTCTGTGTGTGACCTTTCAGCAAGTTGTATCATCTCACTGAGCCTCAGTTTCCTCACTGCTGAGTGGGAACACCAGTGTCTTCTCATAGGGTGGTTGTAAGCAAGGGAGAGAATGGAGAGAACATATATGCTCAGTATATATTTATCCCCTCCTCTGATGTTTCTTAACAGACTGTCTATTTTTTAGGGTCCCCCGGGCCCCCCGGGCCCACCTGGCTTACCTGGGAGTCCAGGAAAACCAGGAACTGATGTTTTCATGGGACCCCCTGGATCTCCTGGAAAGAACGGAGCTGCCGGTGAACCTGGGCCCCGGGTGAGCTGCTGAAGTCATCTCCCCTCCCTGTGGCCACAGGTCTTCCTTCAGCCAGGGAGGGGCATGCAGACCGCAGACCCCAGACCCAGTGCTGTCTAAGCTCACCACGGGGAGCGGGGAGCGGGGAGCGAGCAGCCAGCTAATGTTTGTAAACAAAAATCCTCAGCAAGTCACTGCTAAGACTCATAAGAAGCAGCAGCTAAGAAAAACATCATCCTACACAGTGTTTTGCTACTTTATTTAGTCAGTGTAGGAAACGCAGACTCACATGGAATCCTAGAGTCATAGGACGTCAGTGCTGAGCCTGGGATGGGAGTCCCTCAGAGACCATCTAGTACCCATCCTGCTCCTGGTTCCTCCACAGAAGCAGAAACTGGACCCTCGTCCATAGGTGCTCAGCCTCTGCTGGCCAGGACAGGCATTCTGCCATAGACCAGGCACAGGCCTGGAGCACCAGCCTCACCTGCTGGGTCCTCCCAACCCTGGCCTCCTCATGTAGGAAGCCTTTGTATTTGATTCTGATCAAGGATGTTGTGGGCTGATTGTCACTGATGTTCTCCAGGGCCCCAAGGGACAGCCTGGACTTGATGGAGCCTCCGGCCGTCCAGGGACAAAAGGGGAGAAGGTAAGGGGAAGGTGGGAGGGTCTAACACATGGAAGCCACCAGGCCCACACTGCCCCTCTCTGACCTCTAAAGCTGACCTTGCATCTTCTGTGAAAGACCCTCTCTAATCCCCTCCTGGTCCTCTCTGCTGCTTTCTCCATCCGGGGCTCTTTATGCCAGTCCTGAACTCAGCATCTGCCCTGCCCACTCCTGCATGTCCCCAGCTTCAGTGAAGGGCACTACCAGGTGCCAGTTACATGGATTCAGAAACAGAGTCCACTCTAACTCCCTTCCTCTCCCTTTCCGGCCATGATCTGTCCGGCGCCAGGACCGGCCAATCTGATGTCCACTTCGCTCACCCCTCTGTCCATCCTGGCCTGACATTCATCTCTCCTTATGCAACTGCGGCATCAGGCTCCTCACTGGTGCCCCAAGCTCCCACCCTCCTGCCCGGACCACTTTCTGCAGTGGGTTCCCCTCAGTCACTGCCCTCTCCCCGGAGATAATATCGTTGTCTCCCCACTGCCCCCAGGAAAAAACCGTAACTATGTGCAGACCCTCGAGGCCCTTCCCGACCTGCCTTTCTAGCTCCACCCCCCACCAGCCCTCAGATGGCCTCCAGGTCAGCCAACCCTACTGAAATGCTCTTCCCTCACAGCCTCCTGGACTTTGCACATGGTTTTCTCTGTCTCAGGTGTCTTTCCCTCCCTCGTTCTCCAAGGCCCCATTCAGATAGGTCTTCTGGGAAGCTCTCCCAGATTTCTTCCCAGCAGAAAGCACCCCTCCTTTCTCCACGTCCCATTTGCACAGTATTTATTCTGCTGAGACCCTGCTTAGCCAATGACACTATCGCTGTTAGCTTATCTGTCCGCTCCTACCTTCACCCTGACAGAATCCCAGTATTGTCTGTGAATCCTTAAAACCTAGCGCAGCCTTTGTTAGCCTTTGATGAATGGGTGCAACTTCTTTCAGGCACCATTTTCATATTCCATTCCCAGAGCCTTGCATGCCTTCACTCTCTTCCGTCTCTGTAAGCCCCCAGTTGCGCTGTGGTGGGGCTCCTGCTCCCCCAGTTCCCAGGCTGGTGGATGAGATCAGCCATGTCCCACAAAGGAGGACCATAAAGGTAAGATCAGCCTCCTAGTGACGCAGCCTTGAGTTTTTCTGGGGTTTGGGAGAGGGTCTCTCCCAGCTGGGAGGGGGGCACGGGCTTCTGTATACCCTACCTGGCTGCTAGATACAGCCATCCTCACTGAGCTGAATTTCCAGTTTCTGTCAGTTTTCAAGTGTGTTTATTTTAATTCAACCAGTAACTGGATTTTCGTGGAAAGCTCATTTCTCAGAAAAAAGCAGAAAGAAATAATTGCCAAGCTTTATAGAACTCATTTTACATGTACCAACTCTTTCATAAGAAATTAAATTTTGCAGGAAACATCACAGACCTACACTCATCTTCCCTGTTCTTACCAGCTTCCCCCACCCACCCCCACACACTCGTCTGGCACTTAAAAATACCCACGCCCGTATCCGCACACATACATCCCGCACACACACATCGCAGCGGCTCAGCAGCTGCTCAGGGAAGCAGCCGTGCCGAAGCAGCAGGCTTGCTCAGATGTAATTGTTGAAGACAAATCACGTTTCCCCCTGAAGTTTGCTATGAGTCCTAATTTTGTCACACTGTGTATGCATATGCTGCTTCCTGGTGAAGTAAAAGCAGAAGCAAACTCTAGAAGGACTTGCAAATTTGCATCTGGAGAGCTCAAGGGGAAACTTACACGTGACATTTACCTTAAAAAAAAAAACACCAAAAAAACAAAAGGTAAACCAAGGAGCATGGTCTGGATGTAAAATAATAAAATCATGCTAAAGAAAAGAATAATTTCAGGGATATAACAAAACAAAAGATCCAATGATACAGTTTTAACTATATATATGTACATATATAATATATATATAGTTATATATATAGTTATATATATTTATATATATAGTTATATATAGTTATATATATATATAGTTATATATATATATATATATATATATATATATATATATATCTTTATTGATTTAGGAGAGGAAGGGAGAGGGAAAGAGAAATAGAAACATCAATGATGAGAGAGAATCATTGATAGGCTGCTTCCTGCACACATCCCACTGGAGATCGAGCCTGCAACCCAGGCATGTGCCCTGACTGGGAATCGAATCGGTATCTCCTGGTTCACAGGTCGACACTCAACCACTGAGCCATGCCAGCTGGGCCCAATGATACCTTTGAGCCTCCACAATATCTGTTCTTCAGCTTGCACACCTCCAGTGACAAGGGACTCATTTCTTGCCCAGGCAATGCCTCCCATGGACACCTGGGAAAGGTCTTCCGTCGTGCTATGAGGAAATTGGCCTCTGTTGTCATTTGCAGGGCAAGTTGTCTGAAGTGGGGTTTTCCCCCAAAGAATAAGGTCCAGTTTATTGGGCCGGAAGAAAATATAATATATAATCATTATTTTCAAATGTGGGGTTGTTCTCAAAATGTGGATGGTCGTTAAGAATTTATCAAATAGATAATTCTATGTTGACTTCCACGATAGGAGTATTCCTTAATTTATTTTTTCCAAATTAAGATCAACTGATTCTGAGATCTGTAGCCCAGGAAGGAGTAGATGAGGAGCAGCCTGCTTTCTCAGATACAGAAGCTTCTGGAAAGTATGCTGAAGAACTTGCTGGAGATGGGCCACTGGAAAATTCCTTTCTGCTTTTTTTGCGCTGTCCGGGTCTTCAGCATCTACCTACAATTAACAGAGTCATTCTTTCCCTTCTTTCATAATCTGTGTTTTGTTGTTGTTAATCTTCACCTGAGCACATTTTTTTTTCCAGTGATATTTTAGAAATTTAGAGAGTGGAAGGGAGGGGGAGAGACAGAGAGAGAGAGAGAAACATCGATGTGAGAGAGACAGATCGATTGGTTGCCTCCCCCACATGCCACTATCAGGACTGGGGATTGAGCCTGGAACTGAGGTACATGCCCTTGACTGGATTGAACCTGGGACCCTTCAGTCTTCGGGCTGATGCTCTATCCACTGAGCAAAGCTGGCTAGGGCATTTCTTTCATAATCTGAATCATTCATTGTCTTCTTCAGTCTCCAAAGATACCAGGACATCCAGGTAGAAAAGAGTTTGTCCTTTGACATTTTCTTCAGTGCCCAGAATTGCTGAGGAACGTGAAGCTCCGAGAAAGTGGCCTTGAGTAATCTCACTGAGCTGCTGAAATGTCAGTGTTTGCATTATCTTTCCCACAATGTAAGAGAAGTGTGAGTAAATCATTACCTTCCCTTTTGCCACGTAATCCCAACTTGGCTCTGAGCAATTCTCCGAGTCTTGTATAATAAAGAGCAGGGTACTTCCTTCTCTAGACCCTGAGCAGCCCGCAGCTCTGGACTAGGGTCCCGTCATGGGTTTAGAGCTTGTAACAGCATATTTCAATTAAACATTCTACTATTGGCCTGAGTTCACATTTTATACCTTATTTCAGCATCAGCCATGTTCGGTACAAAAGGCCTCCATGAAACTAAATAAACCACAGTCCCTTGTCATTGTAGTGTGTTGAAGTTATCGTTATAACAAACACCATGAGCAAAACCAACAGGCACCCACAGGCACTAAGCTGTGCTGTCTCAGAAACCACAACAGATAAAATTTTTTAAAAATCCATGAATTTATTCGTTGTTTTGATGTTCCTGTGTGAGGAAGTCTAGTAACGACCTTAGCAAATCCCGTCACCATGATGAGCTGATATGATAATGATTCTAATCTAAACCATGCTTTTGCCATATGCAGCAGTCCTTCCTGCACCTGGTTCTGTCCCGGGGTTCCTGTTGTATAACTGGTCTCTCCATACTTCCTCGTCACCACTAGACTTGCAGTTGTGCTGGTTGGAATTCCAAGATAGTGCAGAGCCTCGCGGCACAGTTCTCTCAGGGAGGAACGAAGTACAGCTCTACCACCACCGTTTGGGGAGTATGGGGTCTTTGCTGACCCTTTTCCTTGGGGCTCCCGCTTTTCACTCTACCTGTTCGTGTAAATTCCAATAGGAAGAGCTCGTCTATCCCCAACCTGATCTGCTCATATTCCGAAGTGGTGGCCCCCGAATCTGTGAGCTGGTGGAATGGGCCCAAATACTGTCTCTCCACACGCAGAGCCTCTGTACCTGATTCTTTATGTAGTTCTCTCTCCAGGAGTGTCTCTCCTGTTATTCTGACCTTATTGAAATAACTCTTATTGTTCTGTTCTTTCTTCCAACAGTTATATATTTTTATTTCCAAGATCTCTACTTGATTCTTTTCCGTAACCACTGTTCTTACTTCATAGTAGTTTGTTTCACGATTGTAATATCCTCCCTTTTCTCCCTGAGAATATATATCACATCCTTCAAGTACTGATTGGATTGTGTTCTTTACTCTGTTCCCTCAGGCATACATTCCATTGTTGGCGTTGTTGCCTTCCCTCAGATGTATGGTGTTTGTGGGTTTGTTTTCAAAATGGGACTCCCTCTTGGTCTGTTTTCTGTGTGTGTTTTCACAGATTGTTAGGTTGTTAGGCAGTAGCTACGATTGGGACATCCAGGTTTCAGGAAGGGGATGGGAGGAGTAGGATGTGCCATCAGGCAGGTACCTCAACAGCTGATCTTATGAGTCTGGGGTACCCCTAGACTTCTCAGGGTTCCCTAGCCCCTGGGCCTCTGCCCTATCTTTTTGTTCCAGGAAATAACTCTTATTGTTCTTGGACTGGCAGTGGGAGTGGGAGGCGAGGGGAGATAGGCAGGGCTCCTTGGCTGTGCCTTGCTCCAGAATTTCAACCATGTCCCTGTCAGAGCCACCCCTCCTCCTGGCTTCCACCACCACTTTGCCCAATACTTTTCTCCCCTGGTTTCCCTCTATGACTGGAACCTCTGGCTTTGGCTTTCCACCTGTTTTCGCTTTGGCATTCTTCACTGTTTCAGATTCAATGTGACTCTCCATCTGATTTTTGAGCATGACTCTTTTGGAACGATCCACTCCGCCATTTCTATGGAATGGGTGTAGAAAGGGAATCTAGCCCAGGGAGATAGGCCTGGGGAGAAGGGCAGTACATCATAATCAGGTGTCAGGGCCTTCTGTGTGGCCCTGAATTGCTGGCTCCTTCCCTTGAGGGTGCTTTTGAGGTTTCCTCATAATTCCCCAGAGAGAACCCCAAATGCAGTCCCCTAATGTAGGACAGTGTCTCCTGGGGGTGGACATGCAGCCTGCTTAGTGCAACACCTCACCCCCGCCCCCCCCCCTTTTCTGGGGCCATTTTAGGCAGCTTTTGGTCTTTAGATTTTTTCCCAGAAGAGAGTCAGTCATCCTTTTACATATCTCCAAAAGTCTAGTGAATACATAGCAAGGTCTTGCTCGAAGCCCCTTCCTATGACTTCAAGCAGGGGAAGTGCCCCTTTACTTCCATCCTGGGGGGGGGGCGGGGGGGGGACACCACCCAGTGCACCGACAGCTCGCCATGGGAATTCTTCCTCTATGAGCTCCCGTGGTTAAACTTCAACTCCTTCTTACTCTTGAGGTAGGTGATGAGCTAATCGTTGAACAATGGGTCGCACAAGCCTTCAGCATGACTTGCCTGCAACTGACAACTCTCATAATGCACTCAGCTTTGAGACATCAGCCCAAACCAAGAGAGGAAGAGACCCATTTTAATATCCTGTGACTTAAGAGTCCATAGTTCCAAATTCTCTTCTGAACACGCCTAATGAGAGAGATATCAGTTATCAGTTGACCTGTTGACTCTGTTTTGTTTGTTTGTTTTTCAGGGAGCAAGAGGGCCTAATGGCTCAGTTGGTGAAAAGGTAAAAAGAAAAACTTTTCCTCCTTCCTTCCCTTTTTCTGGGTTCACTGTGATCGGACTGTGGGGCTGGAGCACTGAAAGCATCAGTGCGTGGGGCAGAGAGAAACATCTCAGAGGGACCACAGGGGAGGACAGGACAGCTGGCGCTGGAGGGGAGTGAATAACCTGCAGTGTTTCTCCTTCCTCACCCTTCCACACACGTGTGCTCACATGAGTGCCTCTGCCTATCGGGCGCAATGTCAATTAGCCCGACAGCCATTTCTGTACCATTAAGCAGTGACCATCAGATTCATCAGCCTAATTAAGCTTGAAGAATGATTTTCTGACTCAGGGTCTGTGTCCTTCCTTCTGTGTATAACCCAGGGCTGGGTAGTCAGCCTGTCCTCTTCCCTACAGGGTGACCCCGGCAACAGAGGCTCACCAGGACGCCCAGGGAAAAATGGACAAGTTGGCACTCCTGGGATCATGGGACCCCCAGGGCCTCCTGGGCCCCCTGGGCCCCCAGGCCCTGAGTGTACAATGGAACCTGAATTTCAGGTACTTGCACCCTATCTTTGGTTGAAGAACGATATGCCCTAAGGGTTACTGGGCAGTAGATTGAAGACCAGTAGATGGGACCCCGGTTTGAGGGCAGGGGCTGTGCTGATTCCCACCAAGCTCCAGCTCCCAAAACCACACCTGGCGCTAGCAGGTGCTCAGGAATTGGGCCTGCATTTCTCATTCTTCTTCCTTCCTTAGTATACTGAAGGCTCTGGAACCATCAGGCCATGGCATGAACCCAGACTCTCAGGACCAAATGCTTCAAATGTAGGTTGAATTACTTTTTAAATATATTTTTACTGATTTCAGAGAGGAAGGGAGAGGGAGAGAGAGATAGAAACATCAATGATGAGAGAGAATCGTTGATTGGTTGCCTCCAACACGCCCCCTACTGGGGATCGAGCCCACAGCCCAGGCATGTGCCCTGAGCAGGAATCGAACTGTGACCTCCTGGTTCACAGGTCAACGCTCAACCATTGAGCCACACTGGCTGGGCAAGGTTGGCTTTTGAAAACCTCATTTCGAGGCCTGTCATGCTGGAGTGAGGGGACTGGCTCTGCTACTTTCAATAACTCACCCTCTCTGTGCCTCCAGCTCCCAGCTGTGCAATGGGAGCCTAGGTGCTCTTTACCGAGTGTTTCTTTGAGGAGCAGTACAGAAGTTTTGCACAAAACATCCTGTGGAGAATCAATCTCTCTCTCTCTCTCTCTCTCTCTCTCTCTCTCTCTCTCTCTCTCTCCAGTCCTTCACCATCCAGCATCTCTGCTTCATTGCCTCCTTGCTGCCCCATTCAATACTCACACTTGGACCCATTTCAAAGCCAGTGCTTGAAGGTGCCCCTCCCTGATGCACCTAGTCTCAGGGAGGCCGGAAGTGTTGTCTATCTTCTGCTACGATACCTGCTGTTAAGAGGACCAACCTTTGGAACCTCATTATCTTTATCACATGGGACCTAGAGCTGAGCACTCAGTCCAGGGGAAGTCTGACTTTCCCCATCCTCCAGATGCCGGCTGTGAGACTCAGGGTCAAGAAGACCCCCACCCTCCACCTCCTGTGCTAAGAGAGGACTCTGGTCTCCTCGCCCTCTGAGGGGTATTCCTTCTGACTCTGGGAGGGGAATTTGCCCCTCATCCTTTGCTCCCCTTGCCTGAGGCAAAATCCATGTCAGTGTGTATGGAGAGATGGCAAGATCCAAGGATAGATAGAGAGTAAGCAAAGTAAATAGAAAAAACAACAACACAAGGATCTTTGTTTCTTTGTTTTGCCAGGGTCTCAAAGGAGAAAAAGGAGACCCGGGGCTCAAGGTGAGGTCACAGCTCTGAGGTGGGGTGTGAGGACTGTCCCGCCTGGTTCTGGGAGCATTATCCGTGCACAGTGAATTGTTTCTCCGCTCTCATTATTGTATCCAGGGTGAAAGAGGGATGGATGGCACCAGCACTGTGGGACCTCCTGGACCCAGGGGACCACCAGGGCGCATCGAGGTCTTGCCTAGTGTGAGTATCACCCAGGTCAGAACATGGCTATTTTCTGCCTTTGCTAAAGGAAAGAAGATTGTCCACAACTTCAGGGTTGCTGGTTACCCAAGGGGCACCTGGCCGGCATCTGGCATGGGAGTTCCCCCTGCCAGCCTGCCCCTGCACCTCCTGTCTGTCTCTACCCTGGAACCACTGTTCTCTCACCTGGTGCTTCCAGAACCCTGTCTGCTGGTTGGCAGCATTTGCAGTCACGAGAATGGCTGTAACAGAGAAGCAAAGGAACATAAGTGGGGACACAAGGGAGGAAGGATGGTTTGGGAAATGATAAATCAAGGAAGACTTTCTGGAGGAAGTGTCTTTGAGCAGGGATTTAAAAGCTAAGAATGATTTTACTACATAAGCATGGAGGACAGGACTTCCAGCATTCAGGTGGCAGGGGCACTATGAGGCAAAACACAGAATAGGAATACGTGTGTGTGTCCAAGGCATGGGAGCGGGTAGAGAGTGATGGAAATTTGTAGAGAAGACTGGGCTGTGGGCTGGGACCAGATCACGGTCCATTTACTATTAGGATATCACATTTGTTAAAAACCGTGGCCCTTCTGAGAGAAATCATGTTATACGGTAATCGACAGAAAGTCAGAACATCCCAAATAATTAGAAAAAAGATGACTAGAGTAAAAAAGTATTATATATATGATTTAAAATATCAAGTGTGGGTAAGGGTGTGATGAAATAGACAATCCCACATGCTTTTGTGGAAATGTAAATTATATGACTCCTTTAGACAGGCAGGCAATCTGTTAAAGCTAAAAATGCCTATACCTCCCAATGCCAATGCCACATGGGAAGATTTCTGTGCTATAAGGTTGAGTAGAAAAAAAAAAAAAAGCAAGGTGAAGGAGAATACGTACAGCCTGATGCCATTATATAAAATAACTAGGTGGCAATGCAGCATGGGGAACACAGTCAATAACATTGTAATAACGATGTATGGTGCCAGGCGGGTGCTAGACTTAGTGGGGTGATCACTTTGTAAATTACATAAATGTCTAATCACTATGTTGTACACCTAAAATTATATAATAGTATATGTCAACTGTAATTGAAAAAATAAAAAATAAAATAACTACATGGACACACGCATATGCACACACACGTACAGATACTAGTATACACACCAACAACACTACAAGATTTCTGTGGAGATATATATATATATATATATATAAAATTTGGAAAGAGGGAAGGCATTCATGTGTTGTGCAATCTTAAGATTGATTGAAAGAGGAAAGTGATAAGGCAGCGCCGAGCTGTTTTTAAGCAGTGGGAGGCATGCGTGTACTGGCAGTGGGTTTAGGGTGTCATCAGCCTGCCCGCGTTCTGCCATGCTGGCTGAGTTTAATTAAAGCCTCGCTGCCAGGAACATGGTGGAACATGTGCCACCCTCTGTCTCATTGTCTGGTTTTTCTCTTTTCAGTCTTTGATCAACATGACCCACGGATTCATGAATCTCTCCGACATTCCCGAGCTCACTGGGCCTCCGGTATGTATCCACAGCTGCCTAGAGTGAGGTTCCCACCCAGAGGTCCCTGCTGAAACTAGGTCGGGTCCGTTTGCACAGAGCTAGACTATATCCAAGTAGAGCGGAAAGAGAACTTTGCATTTCTGAGAAGTTGCTATCACGTTAGTTGGATCATGCAGGGAGTGTTGTCCAGTGCAGAGGAAGCTTCCAGTCCTGTGCATCACAAATGTGTGCGATGGAAATCAGAGAATCATCGGTAATAACTCGATTGACATCTGTGGAAGCGCTTTTGGCCTGCTTTTATTTACGTGATCTCATTTCACGGAACAGGAAGAGATTAGAGAAACCTATCTGTGCTAATGGGCAAACTGGCACAAGAGGAGAGAACATGACTTGCTTCCGTTCTAGGCCCATTTGAGACACCAGGGACACACAAAGAAGCGACATTATTTTTCTGCAAGTCCACAGGCTCGGTCCACGGCACAATAGGACTTGAGAGGAAGGAAGCCTCCTCCCGCAGCCTGTGCAATGAATCCCATTGCATCTTCCACATCTGCTCATGACAGCTGGGGAGAGAGGGGAGAGCTCTAGCCGTAGAAGCCTTGGGGTCCCAGCCCATCTCTGCTACACACCACTCGGAGTCTTTCTCTGAGAACACCTCACTAGTTTGGGGGCAGCTTATAAGAGGCTGTGGATATGAAACTGCTTTGCAAACTGTGGCACTCTGTGTAGCTGACATGGAGATTGAGGCTTATACTTCCACAGCTGTGCAGTCCAGATGTCTGTTGGGCCACCCACTCCTGCAGTCCCCAGTGAGGGTGGCCTGAACCCCACCATTCAGTGCCCGCTGCAAACATCTGAGAGGTTCCTCTAGAGCTGGTATCTCCTGCTGCTAGCAGATCATTGTGTTATCTCTTCTGTGCTATATCCAATGGGGCCTCCTTTCCTTGATTTCTACTAAAATCACCCAGAGCACCCCAATAATCAAGCCCTAAAGCAAACGAGCTAACAAGCAAAAGTCAGTTCACAGAGGTCTTGGTTTTCCCCAAACTATTGGAGGTTTAGGTGTTAGTGAGTTGATACTAAAACAAAACACAGACTAAAATTGAAGATTCGGCATCTCCATTCTAAGATGGGCCTTGTCTGCCTGCATTGCCCTGCCCCCACCCCTAGAACCCGCCTTCCTTCCCAGCCCTTCTCCTTTTCAGCAAGTCCAGACCCACAGGGGCCCTTCATCCCTAATGGAGGGTCAGGATTTTCCTGCTCAGGGCAATTCCCTCCCTGGGAAGATTCAAGTCCCAACCAGTGCCCTCATGCTTTTCGACCCCGCTGTGTATACAGTATATTGATAAACGTGTTGCTCTCTGTGTGTGTGTGTGTGTGTGTGTGTGTGTGTGTCTATATATTCTGCCTTTAATAGGTATGTGGGTATCTGGGCTGGCAGGAAGAAGAGTCCTGGCCCCATGTGGAGAACCACAAACTCACTGCGTCCCAGGGCCTTTCAAACGACTGGTCCTTTAAAATTCTCACTCCTACCTGGGAAAAGACCTGAGTCTCGCCCACATGCCCCCACTTCCACCCTCACACAGCCCAGAACACCCTTTGGCCCCATTCCTCAGTTTAGGAACCTATTTTCTGAGAGTGTTCGTCGAAGTCCAGGGAAGCATTCATCGCCCCAGAGTTTTCAGACGCTGAGCAATTTCATGGAGGAGGAGGCAGCCACCTACAGTGCAGACAGTTCTGGCTCTGGGGGGCGGGGGCTCTGGGCACCTGTGCACAGTTCCTGGCTCTGCCACTGACCAGCTGTGTGACTGACCAGTTCCATTCTCTCCTGGGCCTCAGCATCCTCTTCTGCAAAATGGATCGTGAGCCCCACTGTGCGGGAACATGCATAAGTCTTTGGAAGGTGCTGAGAGGGGGTGGGCCCCAGAGATGCAGTGCTCCTGCTGGCTCTAGAAATGCTGCCCCTAAACCACCTGCTTTGTCTTTGTTGTGTCACAGGGCCCGGACGGCAATCCTGGGCTGCCAGGGTTTCCAGTAAGTACCACAGTAACTGTCTTTCCTCTGTGCCCCATGGCTGCACTCATTCTGTTCCTTCCACTGGGAATGCTCTTCTCCATCTGCATGACCAAGCTCTAGTGCCATCTTGTTCATGTAACCTTTCCTTGTTGGCCCCCACCTGAGTGACCCTCCACTCTGGTCAGCCCCATGGGGCTTTATTTTCACCTTTGCTGTGGTCCTTTTCTGCCTTGAGTAACAGTTATTTGTGTCCTTGTCTTTTTTCCTCGACGGCACTGTAACTACCTTATGGAGGGTTGGGTCACTCATCTCTCTCTACCCAAGGGCCAGCCAGTGGTTGGCTTCCTACGCGTGTTGACTTCCTATGCAAGCCAAGCATTTCAAGTCGATACAGTAGATAAAGTTCCTACAGAGAGGATGGTGGCAATGGGGGCTGGGAGAGGGGCAGCATAGACTAGACATCCAGTAATTAAATCTATGTGCCCCACACTCGGGGGCTTCCACCACGGAAGGTGAAAGTGCATTTCTGTGTAGAAAGTGTTCTACAGGGTATCTCACCCTTTAACGCAGAAGACAAGACAGGGACTTGTGAAAAGCCAAATAGCAATAGTGCTGAAAGGTCTTTGGGGGCAGATGTCTGGTTAAATGAGTTATTGTCACAGATAGTAAGTGTCTGCTGGAGTTGGGAAGATGTCACCGTTGGGTGTGCAGCATTTGGCTCTACAAAGGGGTAGATGGGCATTCATGCAGGAGGAATGGCATGGGCAGAAGTGCAAAGGCAGCAGGGAGTGTGGAGAGGGTGAGGGGAAAGGCTCACTCCCGGTGGTATGGTGGGGAGTGAAAGACCAGATTCTGAGGCTGGCTGGGATGGGTTTGGGTATCAAGCTAAGATTTCTAGATACCATCCCACAGGTAATAGGGAGCCAGAGCAGGGAGGGGAGTCATGGAAGCTGAATGGAGGGGAGAGGTGGGCTGCAGGATGGCCTGGAGGACCCATGCGGAGGCAGAGGCAGCAGGACCGGGCAGTTTCCATAGTGCCCCTTGGAGAAACCCAACGTTCAAAGAGGCATAGGGCCGCCGGGCCTCCTAACGCTCAGTGCTGTCTTCTTTCCACCAGACCACAATTTCTAGACCACTTAAAATCAAGAAAATACCATGATTCATATCTACCAGGAGAATGGCACTCTCTATTGTTCTACTTTTTGAAAAAAACAAAAAAACTTCCATTTGGATAAAGCTCTTCAATTTTAACAAACAACAAAATACCCTTCAATGATTCCTTCTAGGGCCCTAGAGGACCAAAAGGTGACACCGGTGTGCCTGGATTTCCAGGACTCAAAGGAGAACAGGTAAGAGGGGCCCAGGTGTCTGGGTGGGGTCATGCTCCAGAATTTACTAAACATTTCAAATTGGCTGAAGGTAACATCATTTTTTAAAATTTGAGATATAATTCACATACCATAGAATCCACCCCTTTACATTGTAAAATTCATTGTTTTAGTATATTCACAAGGTTGTGCAACCATCACCACTACCTAATTTCAGAACATTTTCATCACGCCCAAAAGAAAATCCATATCTGTTAGCTATCACTCTTCCAGCTGTTAACTTTCGTAATCTCAAGGTTTCTCCAGAGTGAAGGTGGGTTGTGGGTGGAGAAATTGATTTTCATCCGAGTTTGGAAAAAGACTCAACCAACACTCCCTTGAATGTGTCATCACATGTGCTGTGCTTTGTCTAACTGCCTGGTGGGCACCCCCATGAGAGTGTGCGTTCCCTAAGGGCAGACGTCAGCCAGTTCTTTTTCTGTAGCTCCAGTTCTTAGCACAGGGCCTGGTATACAAATGGCACTCAAAAGACTTGTTGGATGAAAGCATGTATAATGAATGACAGTCTTGGTCCAGAATCTTTGGAATAAATATTGATATGCAGAACATGTCCTGGGAATTTCCAGAGTACTGCACTGGCCTTTGTACCCTGTACATGTGCCTCTGAGAATTAGCTTCCCAGTTGGTGTTTATAGATAAGGGTGGAAGTGACATCCATAAACAGACTGCAAAGACTGGGGTCAATGCATTTATTCATCCATCCATTTATGAACTTGTCCATCTTCTATCCATTCCAGCCAGATTCCTGTAAGGAGCACTAGGGCTATAGAAATAAGATAAGAGGAATAGACATGCAAAGAGCCAATAGAAAGTGTGGTCATTGCTGTAATGGAGGTCCGTGCAAAGCCAGTGGGAGCAACCCCTGAGCCTTCCTTGGGGAGTTGAGGTGGGGTGTCTCTACGAGGAGGGATGGCTAGGAAGTGTTAGGCTTCTCTCTTTCTTCCTTCCCCCCACCATTCCACACCAGCCCCAAGGAGGAGCCTCCAGTGTCTGTTGGACCATAATTCCAGGAGGTGGAGAGTTCAGTGTGCAGGGAATGGAGTCTAAGTTCGGTGCCACCTGGGGTGAAGTCTTGGGATATTGTGCTGCCAGGGGCTATGGAGATGGGATGGGTCCAGGGCAGCTCTGGCTTGGGAAGGGGCCTGGTCAAGGAAGAGCAGCTCTTGCTTCAAACACTCCGTTTTCTATGTGATAAGGTCAGATGGATCTAGAGGGACCCTCCCCTAACCCCTGCCACCTTGGACACCCAGGCGGCTCTGCTCCAGTCCTAACAGAACACTCGCTTTCTCCTGCTCTGCCTCTAATGCTTTTGTACTTGCTTCTTCTTGCTGCTGGCGTGCTCAGGACTGCCTTTCCTCACCTGCGGAGTGGTAAGACCCTAATGTCAGGTGTGGGCTTGGGGGACGGAGAGAAGAGGCTGCTCTGCTTGCTTTGGCTGCTTCTGGCCCATTGGAGGGAGAGTTGAACGTAGTCAGCCCAGCTCCCCAGGGGCCAGTGTGGGAATCTGGGGCCGAAGCCTCGGAGTGATAAAGAAGGTTTCTCTCCCTGGCCTTTGCTCGGGACACATACCTTCTTGGAAGCCTTCTGGTTTAGTAGATGGCTCTGCTGAGGGCAGGACCCTGTGTTCCTGCCACCTCCCCTGTTTCCTAACAACTGAGAAACTTTGCCTGGTCCAGTTGCACAGGAGCCTGAGTTTGGAGGCAAAGTTCCCCATGGAGACACAGGGCCTTTTGTTGAGAGAGGCCTCTGGTGTTCATACCTTCATCTCCTTCCCAATTTCAGAAGTTTTAACAGGAATAAGGATTCTTGATGGGAACAGATCTCGAGTCAAGTTGTTAGGAAAGCAAGCCACCAAATACATTAGGAGTCAGAGGTTCCCGGGGATGCCGTGCAGCAAGAGGTGGGGAGGACCTTGTTGGGCTGGTTGCTGGAGAGTGAGGATGTCGGTCTGTGAGCCCTGGACGGTTGGCAGCGTCCCAGCCTGGGAGAGTACATGGAGGGGAGGGAATAGAGCAGAGGACGTTCAGTCGCTTAGGAGGCCATTACAGCACTCTAGTGAGGGTCGTGTCTGAGCCAAGCAGTGGAGTTGGAGAGCTGGGATGAAGGCAACAGAAGTCATGGCTGTGGGACTGAGAGGCCTTGGGGAACCTCTGGATAAGGCAGCGAGGAGGAGTCCAACTTCATTGAAATGTTCTCTGAATTGCAGGGTGAGAAGGGAGAGCCGGGCGCCATCCTGACAGGGGACATTCCTCTGGAAAGGCTGAGGGGGGAAAAGGTAATTATGTCACCAGAAAGCACACATCCTCTTTGGTATCCCTTCTCTGTTTCTGCCGCAAACTATGTTCCTCTGGGTGACTAGTCTGTGTCTCCCTGTTTCAGGGTGAACCTGGAGTCCACGGAGCCCCAGGACCAATGGTAAGCCAGAGTGTCTCTCAGCTGGGTCTGGACTGGGGTTTGAGGCAATTCTCGTACTTTAGTTTAATTAGACTGAGTTGTCCCAGTTGTGAAAATAAAAAGGATGTGACAATGTGTGTGTGTGTGTGTGTGTGTGTGTGTTAGGGTAGGCTGATTGCAATTAAATAAAAATCTCAGTTGCTTAACACAACAGCAGCATGAAGTCCACTGTGGTTGCTCCTAGTTGGGCATGTTCCCTCCAAGAACTGACTCAGGGACCCAGAATGCTTGTAGTCTGGGACTCTGCTATCTTGTGGATTCAGGGCCACACTGACATATTCCAGCTGGTAGGCCAAGGCTGAGGAGGTGGAAAGAGCTCATGGAAGATGAGGAACATCACGTCTAGCACATTCTACTGGCCAGAGCCCAGTTGTCTGGGTGGGTGGGGCCTCAGAAATGTGGCTTAGCCGTGTGTCCAGGAAGGAGAGGAGAACCAGATGGTGGTGAGCACTCATGATTACGTTGCAGGTCTTGCCAGCTAAAGATTGCCACTGCCCAGGGAACCCCCCAAAGGAACCCAGAAAGTCGCTTTGGGCGTTGTGAGTTCTGGACATGGATCTGCTGCTCATTTGCTGTGAGGCCTTGAGCAAGTCCTCTTCTCTGGGCTTCCCTTTTCCCATCTGTAGGGGAGAGTATTGAGTTAGTACTAGAGGACAGGGTAACGCCTTTCTTGCCTTACTTCTCCAGGAATCTATAATCCATTGGGCTGCTGAACAGTTTTTAAGCAACCAGTTCCCCAAGATGAACCCTAAACGTCCCTATCTTTTTTCCTCCAAAAAAAAAACGAAGAAAATTCAGGTGTAGAACATCCACTATGTGTCAGATGCTGCACTGATACTTCACACAGCTCATTCATTTCATCCTCACCGCCTTCAGAGGTGATTATCAGAATCCCCAATTTATAGACCAGGAAATGGAGGTGAAAGAGGTTAAGTCACTTGCCCGTTGTCACACAGCTTGTAAGTGGCATCACAGGGATCTGAACCCAGCCTGCTGGACTCTGAATCCAGGTTTTGGCCACTACACCCCACTACCTTCAATAAACACCTTCATTCTTCTGAGACCTTTTAGGCTGGTTTTTTTAGTTGAAGCTGGATCTGAGGCCTGGGGAGAAAGGACCTGCATTGTTCTAACAGACATATATCCTTGATGAATAGCTCATAACATCCACAGTGCATTTCTTCACAGGACCTTCTGAGGCCTTGGTCCCTTACACCAGGCAGAACGGATGCTTTGGAGAGGGGTAGCTAAAGGCTAAGGCAGACTGGGAGAGTCATGTGTTACTGATTAACCACTTAACTAACATCCAATACTATGGGAAACACCTATAGTTAGCAATGCTGGCCACAGTCTGCAGCAGGTGACCAAGGAAGTTGTTCCCACCAAGTCCAGCTTATGCACAGCTTGCCAAGTACAGACAGTAAGGGGGCACCTTCTTCTTCTAACTTGCATAAAGGTGCCACGTGGGCCAGCTGTGGCCCTTGTGACTAGTGTAGCTTAGAGTTCCCTTACAAACTCACTAGAGCCCTGTTACTCATGGCCCATGGATCAGCTGGGAGCTCGGTAGAAATTCAGAGCTTCAGGCCCCACCCCAGACCTACAGGATCTGCATTTCCATAAGATCCCAGGTGACACCGATGCACAGTGACGTTTGAGGAGCTCTGCCCTAGAACATACCACCTGGTGTCCCGTGTCTTGTTAACTCCTCTGTCCTTGCTTTTCTTTCCCTAAGGGTAACCTGGGCCGGGTGCTTTACACACAGGACCTGTTTCAACTCAGTCTTTAATTGCTATTTTCCAGGGCATGACTATCTATGTTAAGATGGGCCCCAGGAAGATGGGCCCCAGGCTTAAGCCAGTCATTCTCCTGGGAGACAGGGCAAACTGGCTACAGGAGTGGGAAGGCGTGGCCTGGAGGTAGAGCTTGTTCTGGGAAGAGGTGGTGCATTGCGGGCACCCCGTATGTCAGAAGGCCTGAAGGTTCCTGCAGGAGGTTAGAACAGGGCGGTGGCTCTGGAAGCATGTGGACATAGAAAGCCAGCCCTGGAATAAATGGGGTGCAGGAGAATTGGGGTGCCAGGCCAAGGTTCAGGTCCTTAGGGACAGGTAGGAACAAGGAAGAAACCAGGTGCTGGAGCAGGTTATCAGGACGGGCTGCAATGAGGGGTGAGGCAGGGCTGCATTATTCCAATGGGGGCCATGGAGAGCCCTGGGACATAAGATGTAGGGCAAAGGTCCGTGTTCTGAGCTGGCCAGCGTCTGGCTACCTGGGTTCCTTCATTAGCCTGACTGAGAGAGTTGGGTTAGAGCTTACAGGAGGGTGTGGGGCGGTGGTGGGTTGAGCATGTGCTTCCAGCTGAGCACAGAGAGGCTGGGAGACAAGGAGCTCATACTTGCTCCTTGCCCTCCTTCCTCCCGTCGGTGGTTCACCGTCACCACTGCCCACAATGGCAGGTGGGGTGCCCCCCATCTCCCTGGCCCTTGAGTTTCTGTTCTTTTCTGATCTGGTTGGTATTTGTTTTGCCTCTAGGGGCCCAAAGGACCGCCAGGACACAAAGGAGAATTTGGCCTCCCCGGACGACCTGTAGGTGTTGGTGTTCCTTGGACTGGACGCGAGAGAGGACACGTGGGCCAGGCTGGCCGGTGGGCAGTGGTTTTACTAAGGCATCTTCTGTGGGTTTCAGGGTCGCCCAGGACTGAATGGCTTCAAGGGTGCCAAAGGAGACCGAGGCGTCATGATGCCGGTGAGTGCCACAGCCCTGGCTCCAGCCCCACACCACCCTGGGGACAGAGCCCCAAGGCCAGTGTCCAGAGGAGAGGGTGTCAGGTCCAGTGAGCAAGGCTTGTGGATATAATGTTCAGGAATGTTTTTCTTCTTCCTCCACTGCCACTTCCAAACGTCCTCCAGCCCAACTCTGTCCTCCAGCTCACTCTCAGGGTTCCTCCCACCAAAGCCCCTTAGTGAAATGGAGCATAAGCTTCCTCATCCAGACCCCAGAGGGAGGTGGGAGACCGCCATGTGCGCATGCTCAGGAAAGCTGGTTTCAAATCCCAGGTCTTCTGATTTGGGTGCTACCTGGTCCCAGGGGCTTTGCACATCACTAAGGCCTCCGTAAATGCTTGTGAGAGAATAACAAAGGTAGATCAGCTACTTAGGTGGGGCTCACAGGATGGCAGACATTGGGGGCATCAGCAGGGAACAAGGGTCTGGAATAAGGAAGCCAAAGTTTATTGAGCACCTACTATGTACCAGACACTGTAACATGTCCTCTTAAGGATATTATCTCAGTCTTGGTAATAACTATCCTAAGAGACACTAGGTGGGGTCCTTGTTTTGCACAAGAGGAAACAGGGGCCTGTAGAAGTTAAGTGACTCACTGAAGGTCACCGAGCTAAGGTGCAAATGCAGCTCTAAGTCCGTTGCTGCTTCTATTTGCACCACACTGCCTCTGCTTTGTATGTCCAGAAACCCAGACAAACAACTTTACTGAATCACTGGGGAAGTAGCGCATAGCCATCAAGCCTGCTGGGGCTACTAGGAAAAGCAGACACTGATGCCTGCCCTTAGGATGATCCGTGCAGCTTCAGAGTGGGCTAGATGCCTCATGCCTGGGTCGGAGCCTCGCCCCTCCTGCTGGGACATCCTGCTTGGGATCCAGGCTTAGAGGAGCAAACACTGCATGGTGTTCAGGCCAGGATGACCTGGCTTTGAAAATAACTGTGCTACCCAGCAAGAGCTTTGCATTTATTTTTGCATTTATGAGGCACTCTCTGGGGTACCATAGCAAGTGAAGGACCACCCTCTCCCCCCAACACCCCCTCACCTCACTTGCCCCTCCACACTAGGGATGTGCTGATAGAGAGGTGGTGGACTCTATCAGCTGAGCATGGCTCTTGGAGTCAGAATCTGGGTTCCAATCTCAGTTCTGCCATAAGTTGCTATGTGGCCTTGAGCAGGTCACTTCCCCTCTCTGGACCTCATCATCCATCTGTAAACCAGAGATAATACTTATTGCTCTGCTATCTTCCCCATGGGTTGTTGTGAAGATGCAATGAGGTCAGCTATGTAGACGTGCTCTGTAGATGGGACTGGCTTATCCACGGGAGAAATTAGTTGGCTTTAGAGGGTCCTCCTTTCCTCATTGTGTCCCCCAAACCTGGGGAAAGTATCCTGCAGCTGCCTCTGCACTCACAACAACCTGAACTCAGGAATGGCCTTTCTTCCTCAGGGCCCACCTGGCGTACCTGGTCCTCCAGGCCCCCCTGGACCGCCGGGAGCAGTGATTAACATCAAAGGAGTAAGTGGGGGCGGGGTGGGGGAGAGACCTTCATGGGGGAATGGGCACCAAACTGACCTAAGCCCAAGTCAGATGTCCCCATGGCCTCACTTCTCTTGTCCTCACTTCCCACAGGCTGTCTTCCCCATACCAGCCCGGCCACACTGCAAGATGCCAGTAAGTAGCATATGGTCTCTGTCATAAAGAGCAGGCTTTGGCACAGAAAGCAACTCAGAGATGATCGGTCTTTGTCTTGAGCCCTTTCTACCCATCAGTGTCCTCTTTGGTGTCTTGTATCACTTACATATAGACCCTTAAGTGACCAGAAGCTTCTAGATAACAGACTGTGGCAATGAAACATACAGGGTCTTCTAAGGGTACACGGTGTTTCTTTAGCGCAATAAAAAAACCGTGTCTTTTGTTATCGTAACCATATTAGATTCATGCTTGGAGCAGTATGATAGGGGGAAATAGACATCTTAAAAATATAGACAAGAAAATAAGCAATTCAGTCAATGCTCTTTGCATTGGGAACTCTGGGCTAAGATCTCTAACTGACCACGTGCTGTCCTTTCCCCGTTGTGATATTACCACACAGCACACCACCTGAGAGGCAGCGTTCTCTCCCTCTTTTATAATGAGGAGGCAAACTGACTCAGACGAGCTCACTGACTTGTTCAAGGTCACAGCACTGACAGATCGGGAACTGTTACTCACTTCCCCTGACCACCAGGCAGCAGGTGCAGGCACTGTGACCCAGGGGATCAGGCACGTGACTGGCCACCCAGGTAGTCAGTGGCACTGTCCCTGAGGTCTCAGCAGTATTGGGAGAATCCCATTTCTGTGGGGAAACCCAGGAAGGTGGGCCTCTATGCACAAACATCAGTCATGGAACTGTGCGTAATCATTCTCTCGCTCATTCAACAGATATTAACTGAGTACTTACTGAATGCTAAGTACTCCACTAGGCCCTGGGGACACAGGGGTGAACTACGCAGGGATGGCCTCTGTTCTCAGGACCTTGCAAATGACAATTTAGAAAGATTCCTTAAAGAAATTAATTAAAATCTTTAAGATTCCTTAAAGTGGGTTCATAATTGATGCCTGTGAGGTGGTGAGAAGGCTTGGATCAAAGGCTCTAAAATGATGCAGCTTGGCGGTGTGTTTGCCTAGACATTGTCCATGTCTAAACTTTGAGGCACCCAGGTCTGCAGCCCAGGGCCTGGGAACTCTGGCCTGGAAGGCAGAGGACAGGACCCACCTGTGTAAGGCGACCAAGGGGCCCGGATCTATGCGAGGACAACAGCACGCCAGGTCATGTTTACACTGATGGACTGAACAGAAACATAAAACATCAGTGTTGGAGGAACCCTCCGGAGCGATGGCTGCATCCCACCTCCTATGGTACAGAAGGGGAGACTGAGTTCGTGCCCAGAGGGCCCCCCAGATAACAATTCCAGGTTTCTAATGGACCAACCATGGGACAGCACTTGACATGCTTGAGAGTATTGTAAAAATGCGACTGCAATGACCATGACCTGGACTAGGACCCTTTTTAGTAAACATGGCCTGTGGGGGTCTAGACGTTATTTAAAAGAGGCCAAAGAGGAGATCAGAGCACGTTTGCAGAGTGTTTTTATTTCATGCTGCTGGACACCACGGGGGCTGGGCCAGCGACATTCCTGACCAGCTCTCAAAATGGACACTTGAAAGAGAAATGCTTCCTTTCACATCCAGCATTGCGCAAACCCCTTTGAAATACAGCCCCTTCCCAACCATCGCAATTTACAGCTCATGCCTGGAGCGGAGGGACTTTACCAGCAAAACCACAAGATATCAGCTTGGCGCTGGGGCTTTCATCCTTAACCTAGAAATGTTTTCCCATAAAGAGCCCCTCCCTTCCTTCCCCCATCTTCTATCAGTGACCCCTGAGCAGTCTGTGACCCTCCACCCAAAAGCTTAGGGGAATCCTGGCACCAGAGGGATCATTCTGATTTCACATATCAACTGCGAAAAAAGTGAAGACAGACTATTAAAAGCATGGTGGCAAGCGGCTCTGTTCTAATAGGTAAAGAAATGCAGGAATCTGGGAGTGAACTGGGAACAGCTTGGACTCCAGACCCCAGGCACAAAGTTTAGACATGGACAATGTCCAGGCCCTCCCAGCCTAATGATACCCCCCCCCATTGTTGATTACCACTACCCTCAGTTCCTGTTCATTATGCTCATTCCTGGCCATACGCAGTAGCCAAACTAATGGCATCCCAGCTTCATGGCTAGGTACATCACTAGCTTGACCTCTCACGTGAATCAATTCATTGATTAAAAAAAAAAAAAAAGGAGGCCAACAATACTCATGGTTGGCCAAACCAACCCTGCTGCCATTTATTGTCTTAAATCTTTGGGCTTCCCCTTTGCAGAGTTGTTTGGCCAGGAGGCCTGACGCCATGACGTTGCTCCTCCTGCCACACACTCCCCCGGAGCAGGGGACAGTGGCTACCTGTGCATGCAAACACCAGGACAGGGTGCACATGTGTGACTTTGCCTTTCTCTCTCCAGGTTGGTACGGCTCATCCTGGGAATTCAGAACTCATCACCTTTCACGGTACACACTCCCTCCTTCACCTTACATTTCTCTGGGATATTTCCAGACCCTCGTGCCTCTGCTGGGGTCATTTTTATTCGTCCATGGGCATAGACTCGGTGATCAGGAAGAACTGGCTGCATGTGTTAGGAGGGGCTCACAGCTGAGCAAAGGCTGTGGGACGGGGCATTTCTGTTTGGTTCTGTCACCCATCTGTTTATCCTACACATCTTGGCTGAGCCTCCTACTTAGCAGGAAGCACTCCATTTGTCCATTTGTTAGTTTATTCATAAAGCATCCACTGAATCCTCCTTGCTTGGTGCTGTCCCACGCACTGGGCTGAGACAGGTGAATCCTCCGCCATTCCTGCCACCCAGGCCCGTAGGCACTGTTAGGTGAGAGTAGTTTAAAAATCACCACAATGCAGTATATCAAGATCTAGTACAGGGCAGGGCCAGGGGAGCCCAGAAAACCTTTGCTGCAAAGTGTTCTTGAACCAGCAGCATCTTCATCTCCTAGGAGCTTGTTAGAAATGCAGGGCCCTCGGCCTCCCTGCAGACCTGCTGAGTCAAAGCTGCATTTTAACAAGCGCCCTGCTGGGGTGCAGCACAGTAGAGTAAGAGAAGCCCTGGCTCTGAGCATTTGATTAGCAAGTTCGAGGCCTGTGGGAGCTCATCTACCACACAGAGAGAGGGAAAGTTCCGGAAACTGAGCTCGCAGGTGAGCGCTCAGTCTGGTCCTCTGTCCCCACACACCCCTTTGTCCCCCTTTTGATTGAGAAGTCTGAACACTTGCTGTTTAAACAGGGGAAGCTTTTTTTTTCCTTTCCAATACTGACCTCTGGCTGGGCTCTGTCACCCTTAGCCCACCAGGTGGTGGTCTTCCTGGTGATATCTGGCCCCGTGGCTTTCTGTCACTTTGGTTACAAAGTCCAGGCTGTTTTCAGACTCCATGCTCAGATCCAGTTCAAGGCTTGCCCTTCCTCCTGCTGCAAGGTGGGCCTTGGGGAGGACGGGTGGATGTGGATTTACTTTCTCAGATCCCCAGTGCTTCCCCTTCCTCACAGGGTTTCTCTGGGAGGAGGGGGAGGGAGCAGACTTCTGGATGCAGGCCCTAGTGAGCGGTTGTCCTCCCTCTTACTTGTGGGTCTACCCTGCTCCCTCGATGAGCAGTCACATGGGCAGTGGTGAGCTGGCTGTCCTCTTCTCGGGGCAGCGCCGCTGTCTGTGGTCTCTCTGTGGTCCGGTGGAGGCTCCCAGGTCCTGGCCTCAGCCCCCCTCCCCAATCAGTGAGGCCTGGCCGGGTGTGACTGCCTCTCCCACTGACCCCCAGCTGGCAGCATCATGCCCCTGATAACATTCTTCCCGTTCCCCACCCTCGCGCTGGGAAACTGAGCCCCAAACTTCATCTACGCTGTGTGCCTGTCTCTAGGTTCAAGGGCGGCGGTCAGTTGATCTCTCAGACCTCTTGGGAACCAGGAATTCAACAATGTAGTGTCCACCACTCATCGAGGTGGGGGGAGGGGTCACTTCTTTTCCTAAATGCTGAACTCCCAGAAGGAGCTCATGCCTCTCTCCCTTCTAAAGAGTTGGGGGAAGGGGTTGCCTGTGATGCCAGTTCTGCAGAAAGGGTGCTTCTCACAAGCCCTGCGGGGAGTAGGGTGTCACACAGTTGGCATCTCTCAATTCTGTCATCCCCTGACACCACCGTGCTGCACAGGCATAGGCGAGGAGAGGCTGCAGGCCTGACTTGGTGTGGAGCCTCGGGCATGTGTGTGAAGCTGTGGGAGAGAGTTAACCAGCTTCTGCTGGGCTCCCATGATGCACTGCTGGTGTCTTCATGATGGCACATTCCATTACCCATCCTGCCTCCCATTACGCTTCACTGTATCTGTCTCCCCGAGACCAAGCCTTTCAAGGTCTGCTGTGTCTACCTCTGTCTTCACCATCAGTCAGAAAAGGATTTAACACTCTTAATAGGCCTTTGTTCATTGAGTGGACTTTGCGAAAGGGGCTCAATTTGAAAAACTTGTCTCAAAAATGTTTTATATAAAATGAAGATAATTTTCCACTTTTTTTTTTTAATGTATGTGTATTTGGTGGCAGGTGTTAAAGGAGAAAAAGGAACCTGGGGTCTTCCAGGTTCCAAAGGAGAAAAAGGCGACCAGGGGGCCCAGGGACCACCAGGTATTTCAACTCTTGGGCTAGATCTTGCCTTTGACTGTTGTCCCTGAGAAATCCAACTGAGCCAGAAAGTAAGACTAATTCCATAACCACCCTGACCGCGAGCTGCACAGAGTTGAAGAGAGACCCAGTCGTGGGTGACATGTCCAAGATGGAACATTGTCAGGAGAGACTAGACGTTCCCATTATTCATGCTTCATATGCCAAACGAGGCCTAAAGGGGTGTGCCAAGATCCCACAGTGCCTGGGTTGGGGATCCAGGCCAGGACTGTTTCGGCCTCCAAGCCCAGTGCCCACTCTGTTAGCTAAATCAATGCAGAGTCACTTCCACTGGGAAATAATCATGGGTGCCAACATGGCGCCTTTTCTTTGTAAATTTCTGAGATTGTGATTGCAAATTTTATGAGGCGTTTCTTTTGCAGGCCCTCCAATGGACCCAGCTTACCTAAGACATTTTATAAACAGCTTGAAGGTGAGTATTTGTCTCTTAAATTTGGGCCTGTGTTTCCAAGTTCTCAGGTGTATGTCAGAGACCGGTTCATCCTACTCGTACTAAATGTTCTTTGAATGTTCTCTGCTTTCAGGGGGAGAATGGAGACAGGGGGTTTAAAGGAGAAAAAGGAGACTCTATCGGCGACTTCTCTGTGTCAGGACCTCCAGGCCAGCCAGGAAGCCCAGGCCTGGCTGTGAGTAGTGACCCCTCCACGCCACCTTCCTTGTCAAGTCACCGCTTTCCCTGAAACCCCCCAATGTGACTAGGCAGTTGGAGAGTCATGAGTCAGTCATTAGCCACAAGCTGAGGTGGGACTTGGGCATCAGCCTCTTGTTGACTGAGGCGGACTTGGCTGAGGCCCACGGAAGACAGGGAGCCGGCCAAGGCCATAAGCATTCAAGTTACTTCCAGGTCTCTAACTGTGCTGCCTTGTTCATGTTAACGGTGGGAAATTGCTGAATATGAAGAGATGTTAATAGTGAACACATCAGATAGTGGAGACAGAATGGAAGGTGAGGGAGGCATTTTTCAGAGGGACGATTTCATTCTTTTGAAATTTCATCAAAGAGGAAGCTCTTAGATGGGCTTGATCTTCTTGGGCTGACAAATTTCTCCAGGTCACAAAAGAGGAAATCGAGTTATGCCTCTAATAAGAGTATGATGAGATCACTGACCCTCAGGGATCATAAGCAAACTCTGGTCCCAGAGCCTGCCATGAGGGCAGACTCAGCAAAGCCAGGAGTCCAGGGTTCTACTTCCAGATCCACTTCCGTTTGCTTTGGTAAAGTCTTGTCCTCAATCTAGGTCTCAGCTTCTTTATCTGTGAACTGAAAAGGCTAGGGTAGATGATCTTCTAGTTTGGGGCTCTCTCGGGTACTCTGGAGTGTCATTCAACACAGTGACTGGGCATACTCCACTCGAGTTGTGCCTAAGATTGAGGGTAATGATGACAATAGCTAGTATTTATTGATTACTTACAAATGTCCTCTTAAAAAGAATAGGGGGGATTTCTAGTGATTAATGGTGCTTTCTCTCTTCTGTTCCTGTGCCCTTTGCCTTCACAGGGTCAGAAAGGGGAGACTATCGTTGGGCCCCAGGGACCCCCAGGTGTTCCTGGCCTACCTGGGCCACCTGGCTTTGGAAGACCTGGTTCTCCTGGGCCACCGGGACCCCCAGGGCCACCAGGACCTCCAGCTATCCTAGGAGCAGGTTAGTACTGCGATGGTGCCCACACTTATGCCATCTGGTGGCATGTCAACTATACTGACAAAGGGCTGCTTCCGAAATGGAGCTGGCTTCCTTCCTTCCTTCCTTCCTTCCTTCCTTCCTTCCTTCCTTCCTTTCTTTTTTTAAAAAAATTGAGATAATTTATAAAATTCACCCATTTAAAGTATACAATTCATATATTCACAAGGTTATGCAGTCATTACCACTATAATTCCAGTACAGTTTTATCACCTCAAAAAGAAACCCTGTATCAATTAACAACATGCTGCTACCCCCATCCCCCAAATCTGGCAACCAATGATGTACTTTCTATATCTATAGATTTGCCTATTCTGGACATTTCATATAAATGAAATCACATATTATGTGGCCTTTTGTGTTTGGCTTCTTTCACTTAACACAGTGCTTTCAAGGGTCCACGTTGCAGTGTGTATCAGAATTTCATTCCTTTTTATGGCTGCTTAACATTCCAGTGATACATTTTGTTTATTCATTCATAAGTTGATGGACATTTGAGTTGTTTCTACTCTTTGACTGTTATGAATAGTACTGCATGAACATACGTGTACAAGTTTTTGTTGGATGTATGTTTTCAGTTCTCTTGGATATATACCTAGGAGTGGAATTGTTGGGTCATACATGTTTAACTCCTTGAGGAACCTTATCAGACTATTTCCCAAAGTGACTGCACCATTTTGCATTCCCTCCAGCAGTGTACAGAAGTTTTGATTTCAGCCCTGGCTGGGTGGCTCAGGTAGTTGGAGCATTGTCTCATACACCAAAAGGTTGCAGGTTTGATTCCCGGTCAAGGAACATACCTAGGATTTGATCCCAGTGCATGTATGTGAGGCAACTGATGGATGTTTCTCTCTCACATATCTCTCTCTCTCTCTCTCTCTCTCTCTCAAATGAATAAACGTATCTTCGGATGAGGATTTTTTAAAAGTTTCAATATCTCCTCCTCTTCATCAACGCTTGTTATTACCTTTTTTCTAGTCACCCTAGTGTGTGTGGAGTGATACTCATTGTGGTTCTGATTTACATTCCCCTAAAAACGCCTAATGTTGGGTATCTTTTCATGTGTGGGTGGAAACTTCTTGACTGCTTTGCCTATCCCTGGGCCTCACGGAACTTGAGGACCAGCATTGATTCTAACTCTCTATGTAAAAATTCTTTCACCTGTTAGTGCCTCACTTTCTCAAATGGAAAATGGGTGAAACAGAAGAAAATCTCCATTTACCAAGTGCCAGGAACTCTGCTAGTCACTCTACTACATTATTTTATTAAAATCTCACAAAGCCCTTCAAGGAAAGTATCAGCATCCCCATTTTGCTGATGAGAAAAGTGAGATCCAGAGATGTTTAGGAACCTTGCCAAGGTCACACAGCTAATAAGTGGCACCAACAGGTTTAGGACCCAGGTCAGTGTAGCTCTGAGGCCTGTGTTCTTTCCACTGTGCCCATGGTGGGAAAATAATACTAGCAGCAATAATAGCATGGCTGCATCGCTTTTTGTGGTTTGGGCTGGCGTGAGCCAGGTGTGGTGGTAGCACACCTGGGAAGATATCTGCGATGTCTGGGCACCAGGGAGAACTTTACGTAGTGGGTGACTTTGGGGCTGGGGCCTTGACTTAGTCTTGGATCTTTGGGCTACAAGTGACAGAAATGTAACTCAGACGAGATCCGGCAGAAGTGACACGTACAGCATGTCAAGGAAAGGTGAACAGTCAATGTGTGGGAGACACAGATGTGCGGCAGGACCTCAGGTACAACCAGAACCAGGGGCCCAACCCCTGCGAGGGTCCTCTGGCCGTCTCTTGTCTCAGCTTCTCTCTGTATGCGCACTTCATGTTTCTTCACCACAGACCACATCCTCTGCATGGTGGGAAGGAAATATGGTTACTGACAGCTTACAGCTTCTACTGTCAGCTAGAGATCTCGGCCTCTCTTCTCAATTTTTGTTTGCAAAGTCCTGGGAGGAATAGGGGCTTGGAAAGGTAGAAGGAGAGGAAAAGAATAGCTGTAATAATGTTTCTTTATGCTTGCCCGTTTTGTTGGGGAACCATAAACTCCTTGAAAATTCAAAGATCGCCTCAGGGAGCTGTCATCCCTCTAACGTTTTATGTGGAATTGTGTGTGTGTGCAAGTGCATTTTTCTGGGGAAGAGGGCAGTAGCCTCGATCTGATTAAGCGCCCTGTGACTCTTCAAAAGCAAGAGCCTCTGGCAAATTGAATGCTGTACAATTTGCAAAGCACGTGCCTAGTTTGTATTTTTCTCAGTTCTCATTACAGCCCAGTGAAGAAGAAATGCCTGCTTACCTTTCACAGATAAGGAAGCTAGGGTTTGGAGAGCTTGCTATTTCCCCAAGATCACACAGCTGAAATCGGGGACCTGAGGCCCTGTCTCCAGGCCCCAAGGCTCCTGTCACTTCACCTACTTGCCCTCCTTCTGCAGCCTGGCACCTTCTCTTCCTCTTTCTGAGCCCGCTTCCTCTGTTCAGTAGTTTTTGGATGTGAGTGACAGAAAACGCAACCCAGACTGACTTATACAAACAACAGTAACCAGGGGGATGTATTCACTTATAAAATGGAAAAGCCCTGGGCAGGGTTTCATCCAGTGCTATCATCAAGAAGCCCAAATGAACAGACACTGGGGCGGTGGGGGCTTGCCCGGGGTGGGAATGGCTGGAGGGGGGTGGGGGGATGGGGGGGGCGGGTCAATCAGGGAAAAAGGAGACATATGTAAAACTTTAGACAATAAAAAAAAAGAAGAAGAAGAGGCCCAGCACTTCCCCGAACCAGTCCTCGGGCTCAGTCCGGTGCTGGGTCCAGAGTGCCCAAGGGTCAGAGGCAGGCGCCCATGCCTGCAGCACTGCGGGTGGGCTTGCGCGTGCTCCCCCTATGACCGGCTAACACCGAGGTGTTGTTCGGAGAGTGTGGCTTTTTCTAACTTCTCTTTTCTGCTTTGTCGCAGCTGTGGCCCTGCCAGGCCCGCCTGGCCCTCCAGGACAGCCAGGGCTTCCCGGATCCAGAAACCTGGTCAGTATAGCGATCAGTGTGTATCCATCCTCTGCTTTAGACGGGTTTACTTAGCACTTCGGCTACAGTGTGTAGGGGCTGCGACACCTTTATGTTGGATTGAGGCCTCCATGAGGGTCGCATTGGTGCAATCCCACACACAGAGGGTATTTATTATCCCTTTAGATGACTTATACAAGATGCCGAATACAAAATCATTGATGATTTCAGTTGTACCCTTTTATTCCTTAATTCACTAAACTAAGTAGAACCAATCATATGACATCAAAAACAGAAGCACTAGAGTGTAAACAGTATCTCAGCGGGCCCCGTGCTGGTAACTCAGCCTCCTCTGTTCCGCCGAAGGATGTCTCTTGTGCGCTCAGCGCTCTGCAGGTCACTGGGGCAGGCAGAGCGCCCCGAGGCTCTGATGATGCACCAGCAGAGGGGCAGTGCCTCCCCAGGATGTCAGGAGTCCTAGGGACGCTCTGTGATCTTTGCGGGCTTTTAGTTGGGAAAGTGGGCTGCCAAGTGAAAGAACGGTCCAGCAGCTAATGGAATTTTGGTATTTGCTGCCGTTGGGGGATTTCTAAGCCATGTTGAGGCACAGTTATTACTTCAAGGCTAAGTGAAAATTAATCTTTTATAATCCTGCTCCGTTGGAATGAAAACTAAAAGCTCTCTTGGCTGATGTTTCTTTGAGACTTGGTGCTCTTCGATAGACTTTTTCAGCTTCTCTGTCTGCTCTTGGCTATGCCGAGGTGACGGTCTAACCTTTGGCAGCTTTCTAGACAGAGAAATGACAGAGCCTCGTTTTCTACCAGGTATTTAATGTTGTAACTACCCGGCGAGGCGAGAAAGATTCAAGACCTAAGTAGAATTGAAGTTCCAAATGCAACCACATTTGAAGCTCTGTGAGCATCAGTGTGAGACGGCACATTTAACCCTGTCAGTGCCACTGGGCAGCTCACAGAAACGGAAGTGGCCAAACTTCCCGACCACTTTGCTGATACGGCACCCAACAAAGGCAACTCTCCACAGTTTTTAAATGTCTTTATACTCGCAGGCTATTATCTTCTTGTTTTAACATATCTATTACAACTTAGAGTTGTGTTCCAAAGTAATTCATGTTTTTGTTTTATCAAAAAGACTATCCTTTGGTTATGAGGAAGCTGTGTATCACCCTATGGCACCATAAGCCTTTTCACTGATGAAGAGGGGGGTGGCTTATATTGGACTTGACCAGGAGGCCAGCTTTCCGAGTGTGCCACGGCTCCCATGATAACTGCAGTATTTGGAATTTTAAACGCCCTGACAGGTTACAGCCCTGAGGAGCATGGACGACATGCTGCAGAATGCGCATTTGGTGATAGAAGGGACATTCATCTACCTGAGGGACAGCACCGAGTTCTTCATTCGTGTCAGAGATGGTTGGAAAAAATTACAGGTAATTCTTCAACTTTCTTGAATACATTGCCTCCAAATACCCCTGAAAAGTAATAATCTACTCCAGTGAATGTTATTTTTCCATTTTAAAAATAGGCGAACAGTTTGCAGTTGGCTCATTTTCAATGTACTGTTTTTTCTTAAAGCTGGGAGAACTGATCCCCATTCCTGCTGACAGCCCTCCACCCCCCGCGCTTTCCAGCAACAACGTGAGTAGTTTTCCTGCCTTGCGTCTTGCTCAGCATTTACTGAGTCCCCCCTGGTACCCGGCACCAAGCTCTCCAAACTCTGGACAGCCAGCGCTGCGTGGTTCGGTATCTGGTGGATGCCCAGGGATGACCAGGTGCCCACAGAATGTTCTCACTGCAGAGTGGAGGGAGATCTGGACCCAGGGTCTGGAGATCTGTTTCCATGTCGTAGCTGAACCTCTGGTTGAGGGGCTTTCCCTCTCTTGGCCTCAGTTTATTCATATATCATGGTTGGCATAAGCGATCTTAAAGAACCCTTTAATATTTGACACTCGTCGGCAACTTACATTGTCCATTTCTTGACCCTACAGCCACCTTCGAGACAGGTACTATCATCCCATTTTGCAGATGAGGAAACAGGCTCTGAAGAGGTGACTTGCTCTATTAAGGGAATGGGTCAGCTGTAAAACATGGGCCTTCTGCTTCCCTGATTCAGTGCTCTTTCTAAAAGACTGAAAATATTCCCTTCCTTTCTGAGAATTCTTTTTTTTCATTCCCAGTTAAGAGTGGCCCAAAGACCATGACAAACTAAACTACCTTCTCCAGAGACTTTGCACTTGTACCTCAATGTACTCTGAAGAACAGATCGAATGAAATGAAAATAGTCAGAACTGTTTGTTTTCTTTCTTTTTTTTACATAATAGCTACATCCGCTTCGGCCTCCACTGACGTCTGTTTCAAGTGTCAATTATGAGAGGCCTGCAGTAAGTACAATTCATGCACTTACCCCGCAGATGCTGAATGTGTGTCTACTATGTGCTAGGTCCCATGCTGGGCACACAGCTCCTACTGTCAAGGTGCAAACAGACTAGCAAGAGAGGCAAACAAAAAAAAATAGGTAATTACAGTACATTGTGCTAAGTCGTTTGGGTGAGGCAATCAAAGGATGCTGGGGGGGTGCGAGGAAGGTCGAAGAAGTCTGCCTTCTTTAGAGGAGGTGACCTCTAAACTAAGATCTAAAAGGCAGTTGAGAGCAGGAGAAAGCCAGGTGGGCAGAAGAGAGTAGGAATTCCAGGCAGAGGGCATATGGAACAGCGGGAGGCAAGGGGGAGTGTGTACATTTCTATAATTCTGAGTATTTCAGTCTGACTGAAGGAGTAGAGTTCAAGAGATGTTCAGTCTGCAAAGGGCACGGGCTAGTCATCAAGGGCCTATAAGCCAAGCTTCTGACTTTGACCTTCTCCAGTGGACAATGAAAAGTATTAAGCAAGAAAAGGGTATTATAAGATTGGCATTTCAGAAATTACTTTGGGTGTAGTGTACAAATGGATTAGAGGGGACAAGACCAGGGGTCCTAACACCAGTTAGGCAGCTACTCTATTATCTGGACCAGCAGTCGCCAACCGGTGGTCCGCGGACCACTGGAGGTCCATGAGTTCCAAAAGGTTGGCAACAGCTGATCTGGACTATGATCATAGCAGTGAACCTAGAAAAGTGGGCAGATTGGAAAGAAAAGGAAACAGGAGGGGCAAATGTGCTAATTGACTGGATAAGGGGAGGCGTGGATGAGGGAGTTCAAGAATAATGTCAGGTTTCCGCTTGGGTAACTGAGATTCCTTTCCAGAGTCATTTGCAGAAAGTAAAACTCTTGTCCCTGCTATTAGTCTGCTCCACTATCTTTACAGACCAGCTTTTGCAAAAATCTTTCTTCCTAACTCCCTTCCACCCCCACCCCAACACACAGACATAGGTCATATCTTCAAAGCTTACACACAACCTTGGGTTGTCATGCACTGATCCTGGCCCTAGTTCAATGTGATCTTACAGCTGCAGAGCCCAATACTTTCTGACTCAATTCAGAGTCTTGAGAGAGATGGTTTATATGGGTCATCTTGGGTCAATCGCTCACTCCCAGACAAATCAAAACTAGCCAAGATTGCATGGCCTAAGACCACTTTTTTAAACAAGAGTTGTGAGGGCATTTTAGCAAAGAACAAGGCATGGGTTGGGCAGACACCAGAAGCATGTTCCCTATCATGTCTTTACCATGCAGGAGTTCACCTGAGGCACCTACAGGCCTGAGGCACCTGTTGGATATCTGAGTGGAGACTTCCAGGAGGGAATAGGATCTGAACATATGAAACACCACAGTGGGTCTGGTCTGGAGATTTAGACTTAGAGTCTTTAGCCAAGCCATGGCAATAATGATGGGGTGGTAGGATTCCCGAAAGAGAATCTCTACAGTGAGAAGAGATTGGACCATTAGGAGCCCCAGGTAGAGATTGAATAAGACGCCCTCGGGTGTGCCTTCCATTCTAAGAAGTCTGGGATCTCATTAGGAACATGAGATGGTTATGGGACTTGGAGTTTGCCTTTCACTCTTTAACTGTACTGTCTTCTCTAATTTTTTATTTTTTTGCAGCTGCACTTGGTTGCTCTGAACATGCCATTTTCTGGGGATGTTCGAGCTGATTTTCAGTGCTTCCAGCAGGCCAGGCGTGCAGGACTGTTGTCCACCTACCGAGCATTCTTATCCTCCCATCTGCAAGATCTCTCCACAGTTGTGAGGAAAGTGGAGAGATACAGCCTCCCAATAGTAAACCTCAAGGTAAAAATAGATACTGTCCCTGTTGCCTCTTGGGTGCGCTGGTCTCCACAGGGACTGGAGGCAGTTGCCACTTTCTGACATCGTCCCAAGTGTGCTGGTTCCAGGCCCAGCCCGTCCCTGATTGGCTGTGTCACTTTGGATCTTAGTTTTCTAATATTTACAGTAGCCTTCCTGCCTGGATGGTATGACTCATGGAGCAGACAGGAGGGAGGAATAATGACCTCTTTCACTTACATAGTTTTCTAATGTTTACAAAGTACTTTACATTCATTATCTTAATAGGTACTTCCAATAAAAATGGAAGTTATTCTTCTGTCTGGTGAGGAAACTGAGGCTCAGGAGAAAGACCTTTGCTCAAAGTCACTACAATTTAGAATGAGTTTCCTTGACCCCCACATCTGGGGCTCTTGGTTCCACCTGAGATGCCTTCTGTAGGGCACTGGCTGAGTGGTATCAGAGAATAGCTGGTAATCACTGGTCGCAGAGCAGACACCTTGTCCTGCAACCAGGTTTGGTGTCTTCGACACATCAAAGCTGCCAAAGCCTGGAAGATATTTCTCTGCCCCCACTTGGAGGCTAGGCAGGGCCTCATAGGATCCTTCAGTGGTATAATTATACCATGGAAGTAGCCGACTCCTTCAAAGCTGCAGAGGTACAGCTCTGTTCCTGCTAACACACATCCTGGGTCCTGACCTCCCACTAGATCTCAAAGGTACTTTGAGACCCTCTGGTCCTTGGGACTTTAGTACTTCCATTTGGGACCCAATTATTTGTATGCTTGGAATAAAAATAACTGAAGGGAACAGGGCTCCTTCAGAAAAAGGAGCAAGAGATTTATCTCCATGATGTGGATTGGCACAAATGTGAAGCTCAGTATATACATATAAAATATTTTCAAACAATAATAAAATAAAGACCTAAAACACACTTTTGATGGGATGGGACCTTGAATACATATCATAAGAAAAATTAGTTCAAGAAATAAGATAGTAAAACTGAAAGGGTTCAGGAATGGATGATAAAATCAAACAACAGATATTTCCTGAGTTCCCACTCTGTCTCTATGATTGAGGTTGACTTCAGTGTGAGGTGACATCTGGCCTTAAAGAATGAACAAATAGCCAAACCGGTTTGGCTCAGTGGATAGAGCGTCGGCCTGCGGACTGCAAGGTCCCAGGTTCGATTCCGGTCAAGGGCATGTACCTTGGTTGCGGGCACATCCCCAGTATGGGGTGTGCAGGAGGCAGCTGGTCGATGTTTCTCTCTCATCAATGTTTCTAACTCTCTATCCCTCTCCCTTCCTCTCTGTAAGAAATCAATAAAATATATTTAAAAAAAAAAAGAATGAACAAATAGTCCTGGCCGGTGTGGCTCAGTTGGTTGGGTGTCATCCCCTGCACTGAAAGCTTGCCAGTTTGATTTCTAGTCAGGGAACATGCCCGGGTTGTGGGCTCGATACCTGGTAGGGGGTATGCAGGAGGCAGCCTATTGATGTCTCTCTCTCTCTTTCCCTCTCTCTCTCTCCCTCCCTCCCTCTCTCCCCTCTCTAAAAAATCAATTTAAAAAATCTTTAAATTAAAAAAAAAACAATGAGTAAATAGCTAGTCCATTTGCAGGCTGATGTATAATGATTCCAATGTGACATTTTTGTCTCCATAGGGCCAAGTACTTTTCAATAATTGGGACTCAATTTTTTCTGGCCATGGAGGTCAGTTTAGTACACATGTTCCAATATACTCCTTTGATGGCCGAGACGTGATGACAGATCCTTCTTGGTAAGTAGGGGTGGAAGCCTCAAAGTATATGGTATGATAGACAGTTTTAGGAGACAGTCTAATCATGGGATGCTTTCATCAGCTGCCCCTCTGGGGTGTTGCCAGCATAAAGCCTCAGGGAGGTAGCTAAGGGACCATGGAAACAGTCCACTCAAATCCTTTGAAAACTATGTATGCTATAAAGAATAGAACAGCCCTAACTGGTTTGGCTCAGTGGATAGAGCGTCTGCCTGTGGACTGAAAGGTCCCAGGTTCGATTCCGGTCAAGGGCATGTACCTTGGTTGCGGGCACATCCCCAGTAGGAGGTGTGCAGGAAGCAGCTGATCGATGTTTCTCTCTCATCGATGTTTCTAACTCTCTCCCTCTCTCTTCCTCTCTGTAAAAAGCAATAAAATATATTTTAAAAAAGAATAGAACAACTCAGCAAATCTTTCCTCAGCATCTACTCTATGCCACACCTGATGCCAGGCCTGGAAGGCACAGTATCTACACGGCCCCTACCCTTCCAGGGCTCACAGCCTACAGGGGAAGACAGACACAGACTAGCTGTGATTCCAGCCAGAACGTTGCAATGATAAAATGGAGACGCAGATAAGATGATAGGAGCACAGGAAAAGTACTCACCGTTACTTGGGGGTGAGAACCAAGAAGGCTTCTGTACGAGTAAGCATTTCATGGACTTTGAAAGATGAGAAAGAAACCCTGGTCTGAGAATGAAAGAGAGGCTGGTTTAGACAAAGGGACCTCATGAGGGAAGGTTCTGATTCACAGAGCACAGAGTCTGATTTGAGAACATGTATGAGCTGGGTGTGGTTGGAAGGTGGTGTGTTCAGCTACTAGTAATTAGAAAGAGGATTGAAGATGGAGAGGTGATGCAGGGTCAAACCATGGAGGGCTCAGGGGGTTGGACTTAATTCGCTAAACTTATGCCAATTTGTTCACTGAAATATGCCGTGAAGAAGAAAAAAATAACACGACAAAATTACTTTTCAGGCCCCAGAAGGTCGTTTGGCATGGCTCCAACCCCCATGGAGTGCGTCTGGAGGATAACTACTGCGAGGCATGGCGAAGCGCCAGCACAGCAGTCACGGGATTGGCCTCCCCGCTGAGCACGGGGAAGATTCTGGACCAGAAAGCATATAGCTGCGCGAGTAGGCTAATTGTTCTCTGTATCGAAAACAGTTTCATGACCGACGCTAGGAAGTAATGACCTTCCCATGACCTTAAGAGTTCCCCAATTTTTCTTATGTGAAGAGTTGACACTGAAATCTAAAATGTTTAAATGTTGTAAATATTGGTGGGTTTTTTTATTATTACACGTTCATCACAACAGCAACCAAAGAAAACATACCTCAATACACTCAAAACTGAAGACATCAACAACTCAGATCAAAGATAAACATCTGATGGGTATATTGGTGCTAGACGCTGCAGGAAACCCCAGGCAGTGCGAACACATCCCAACACGGCCGAGAGCACGTTGCAGGCAAAAGGCCTTAGCACGCTCCCGACTGCATCCTTCAGAAAGTAATTTCCTCCTTTCAGCCATTGTTGTTGAGTGTAAGATGTCCTTCATGTTTTCTTACCAAGTCGGTGTTTAGAAATATTACCCCTCTTTAAGTTATGTGCAGACCCAATGCTTTATTCTTTAATATACACCCATCATTTGCAACTGCTGTTCATACAGAGATACCGAACTGCTCAAATGATCCTATCCGTAGTTTCTGGTATTATCAGATTTTAATGTTTTTATTTTCTGAAATATTGTCATCATGCTTTAGGAGTTTTATATTTTTGCTACCATCATATGTTAGTATGGCATCTGTTTATATCACTCTGACTTGCTGGAAAAGTTTAAACTCCCAGTTATCTGAAACTAGAAGAGAAATAACACGTAATTCCTACCTTTCCCTTGGTGGCCCTTCCCCCCACCCCCACCCTGATTTTATGATTTCCCGTTTGGCATCTCTTGAATTATAACTGCGATTGAACAAATGGGTTCATGAGGATGACTTTTCTGAGATACCTATATTTCATGCTGTATACTTTGGTTTTTTTCCATGTAAGTGAACATAAAAACATCTTTTCCAGGCGCTTTCTTTTGTTTGTTTTTTTCCCCTCTAGTTCCTTTATTCTCCACCACTGATGTGGAAGTGGCTCCCAGTGGGTTTACGAACCCTGTCACTGCCACTTGTGTAGTCCTCGGGGATGATCAGAAAACAGGAAGATTTTCCCATCATGCTCATCTGCTCCTGCTTGTTCTCTCCTGCTTGGAGGGGGCAATGTGGGGGTGGGCAGAAGAACTCCAGTGTGGGAAACAGGATGAACTGTGACTGTCTCAACACACAACTTTGGACAAGTCTGCTTTTTTCTCTCAAGAAGGTTGGGATCAAATAAGCATAATATCAGCTCCCAGTTATTATACATCAGACTATAAGCGCTATTTACCTTTCCTCATAACTCTGTAAGGTGGCTGTTTCTATCTCCATTTTATAAAAGAAAAGGTTGAGGGTCAGGAGGTCACACAGCTGCTGAGTGATGGGGCTGGTTTCAGACTCAGGATCTGTCTCATTCCAGTGCCAGGATCTTTTCAAGGAACCACCGTGCAAAGCTGCCCATCCGCTCCTTCCCAGCTCCCAGTCTGTGACTCCCTGCCTCTGGGCTTGACCCTGCAGGAGAAACAGCATCACCAGGCAAAGGGCATGCCGGGATATTTCCTCCCATTCAGTTCAGCTGGCTCAGAAACTCAGCCAAGTGAATCTACACGAATAGTCCTTGAGGTAGGAAGGAAATTGACCCCAAAAATATCCAGAACCTCCACTTAGGGGCTTCCTAAATAGAGGAGTGATGCGAATCTCTTTAATGAGTCACGGAATGAAGACAGATATAGGTTGGAAAGCCCAAGAGGGGGACTGTTGAGGATCAGGCAGTGACGGGGACTGGGGTGCCTGGATGGACAGGAGCTGTGGAAGAAGGGGAGTGTGAGGCACCGAGGCCATGAAGTGAAGCCATCCATTTTGGTCAGAGCCCACATGGCCCTGGGTCACAGAGGGGCAAGGTGGGATGGGCGTCTGGGAGAGCCACGAGTAGGAGAGACCCCTTTTTTTAACCTCAGGAAGTGGTGCTGATGTTCATGTCCTGACTTCTCAGTCCTCTGTGCATCAGAGAGGTTATAACCCATGGCCCTCCCAGAAGGGACCCTGTATCAACCCCAGCCCTGCTCAGACTCCGAGAATGACCGCTAAAATCCTGGGCCTGGCATTCAAGACCTTCACTGAACACTGCTTTCCTGTCACTTCCCAAGCCGCCGAGGCCCCTCTGCTGGGCTGTTCATGCCCTGCCCCGTCTTGGGAAAGCCCTAACCACCCTAGGTCTAGCCTGGCTCTCTTGTTACTAGCCAGTGCAGACCCTGCTTCATCTGTGACCTCACCCTTTCCCCTGAACCTGCCTGCTTTTAGTCACGCTTCCTCCTCTGATCACCTGGTGTGTGTAACACCCGCTGAAAGGTCTCTAAGCCCTCACCCCACTCCTGAATGGACCTCAAGGCTGGGAAATAGAGGAGTGCTCTCAGACATAATAAGGGAGGAAAGATATGCCAGAGGAGTTCATCTTCGCAGTGTGAATGGTCTTTGGGTCCTTGCTGGGCACTCAAGCTCTGAAGCCTGAAGCAGCCAAGGTCTCCTGTCGAGAGCAGAATCAGAAGGGCAAAGGCACTGTCCCCCTATCAACCCCTATCAGGGCCAGGCCCAGGAGGAGGCCGACTTTGAAGGGCACAAAGGACTGAGGAGAGATGGGGGTGGGGGAGACAGAGCATGAAGGAGAAGGTCCAGGGCAATCCTCTCGGCCAACCCGGATGTGGCCACGAGGCGGTGCCTAAAGGAAAATGACAGGAGCCACCCCAGATTCTTGCACCCTCTGGATTTATGGGGCTTGCGCTGTGCGCGGTGTTGCTTGAACCTGAAGGGAGTGCAAGTAGGAGACGGTGTGGAATTCAGGGAACTGCCAGCAATCTAGTAAAGCTGCGTATTAGTCAATAAGGAAAACAAGTCAGATTCATAAGAAAAAAAAGAAAAGGCATGTGTTGGCTCATGAACCCAAATTGAAGGACAGAGGATGCAAGAGACTCAAGTGCCATCGTCCCTTTGTGTCCTCTCTCTCTCTCTCTCTCTCTCTCTCTCTCTCTCTCTCTCTCGTGTGTGTGTGTGTGTGTGTGTGTGTGTGTGTGTTGCTTCTGCTTGTGTCTGTATATGGCTTCCTTCCCTCCAACTGAGGACAAGATTCCTTCATGCGGCAGGGGCTGTTCCCAGACAGCTCCAGGCTTACACTACTCCACCAGCCCAGAGAGTGGCCACAAAGGAGAGAGAAGACGCCCTCTCCGATTGGTCTCACCTGTATTGTGTGCCCGTGACAGTGATTGGCAGCCCCTCCCGAGACAAGTTGTACGCAAGGAATCATCCCTCCACTGAAAATATTCGAGGTTTGCTATCAGCAGAAAACAGGGTCTGAGGAGGTTGAGAAGAAAGAAAGAAAGAAAGAAAGGAAGGAAGGAAGGAAGGAAGGAAGGAAGGAAGGAAGGAAGGAAGGAAGGAAGGAAGGAAGGAAGGAAGGAAGGAAGGAAGGAAGAAAAAAAGAAAAAAAGAGAAAGAAAAAAAAAAGGAAGTCCTAACTGGTTTGGCTCAGTGGATAGAGCATCTGCCTGCAGACTCAAGGGTCCCAGGTTTGATTCTGGTCAAGGGCATGTACCTTGGTTGCGGGCACATCCCCAGTAGGGGGTATGCAGGAGGCAGCTGATCGATGTTTCTCTCTTATCGGTGTTTCTAACTCTCTATCCCTCTCCCTTCCTCTCTGTAAAAATTTAATAAAATATATTTTTTTTTAAAAAAAGAAAGGAAAAGGATCAAGCACATACAGCAGCAGGAAAGGGCTGAGTGTGGGGTTTGGGGATGGAATGATACACAGAGGTGGGAGCACACTGGCCTTGAACTCTAGGAGAAGGTGTTTGGACTTTGCTCTGCAACTGGTGTGGCACCTGGGACGATTTTAAAAGGTGAGAGATGGGATCAGATCTGCGACCCACATGACTGTCTCAGCAGGGACTGCAGGCAAAGATATGCTGGGGGAAGCTTGTGGTGACTTATGCAATTGCTGACAGCACTCCAAAGAGCTATTAATCCTTTTCAGTATAAACTTCCATATTTATAAATATCAACAAATATTTGATTTGCCAAACCTCCTCAGTCATCTGAGGAGATTAAGCAGTCTCAAGAAGGGAACTAGCAGATCAATCAGAGCAAATGGTTTGTATTAAAAAGAATTATTGCAGAAAACAGGAGCTAACTTTTCAAAAGTTCAAATTTGTATTTTGGTGAAATGTCAGAGGGCAAAAGAAGCATGACCTGGAATTTGAGGAGAACAAGAAACAATTCTTGAAAATAAAATATGTGATTTTATGCATCTCAAAATAAAATAGAATTGCAGCATATATATTCGCAAAAACTGATTTAGTGAGTTATCAGGTAAACTCATAAGAATTAATATGATCGCCCTGACCGGTTTGGCTCAGTGGATAGAGCATCGGCCTGCAGACTCAAGGGTCCCAGGTTCAATTCCGGTCAAGGGCATGTACCTTGGTTGCAGGCACATACCCAGTAGGGAGTGTGCAGGAGGCAGCTGATCGATGTTTCTCTCTCATCGATGTTTCTAACTCTCTATCCCTCTCCCTTCCTCTCTGTAAAAAATCAATAAAATATATTTTTAAAAAAGAATTAATATGATCTTCTCAGAACACAGACCGAATAATAGATTCATGAGATAAAAAAAGAGGGTGGTATATATAATGTCCTGATATTTATATATAACAGGAGCCATAGAATAGGAAAAAAGAATGAATGTAAGAAAACAATTAAAAATAATAATGAAAGAAAATTTCCTGAGCTGAAAGAGTATTACCTATAGATTATAAATAATCCTGGGCAAAATTGTTGTAAAAAAAATCCACCCCAGGGCATAAAGGTAAGATTTCTGCATTTCAAATGGTGTTAGAATCCTATAAGGAGATTCAGACTAGCACTGGAGTTCTCATTTGCAATATTAAAAATTAGAAGATAATGTATAAATAATCTTATAGATTTAGAATTATAATAAAATTTTGCAGCCGGCCAGACTGAGAACAAAAGAGAAATGTCAAGACTCCAAATATAATATCAGGTACTCTTTCTGAGAAACAAAATTTGTGAAATAATTATAACCAAATAAAAATGAGCAGAGAATTAATATCTCACAGAGTAGAGGGCATTCAGACTAGCACTGGAGTTCTCATTTGCAATATTAAAAATTAGAAGATAATGTATAAATAATCTTATAGATTTAGAATTATAATAAAATTTTGCAGCCGGCCAGACTGAGAACAAAAGAGAAATGTCAAGACTCCAAATATAATATCAGGTACTCTTTCTGAGAAACAAAATTTGTGAAATAATTATAACCAAATAAAAATGAGCAGAGAATTAATATCTCACAGAGTAGAGGGCATTGCAATATCTTAGAAATCTCGTAAGAAATAATTCAGGATAATTTATAGCTATGTCTAATCAATGTTTCCTAATGTATATATATAAAAGGCTAAGCGACCAGCCAACCAGCCAATCAGCTGGTAGGTATGACACACACTGACCACCAGGGGGCAGATGCCCAATGCAGGAGCTGCTGAGCTGTGGTGACTTGGCAGCAGCCGTTCTTGGGTGATGCACCCCAGAACCAGAGAGGAGGGAGCCCAATTCCGGGGTGCATCACCTGAGAACTGCTCTCTCACAATCTGGGACTGTTCAGGGGATGTCAGAGAGCTGGTTTCAGCCCGATCCCCGCAGGCCAGGCCGAGGGACCCCACCTGCCGGAAAGACCCCTGCTCCCTAGGCAGACACCCTTCAAGCCCTGGCATCGCCCCAGGTGAGGCCAGCTGGGGAGAGACTGCGGGAGGTTGGCTCCAGGGTGTGTCCCGCCCCTCTAACCCAGTCCCGCCCAGCCGGCCACCTTCTAATTAATTTTTTTTCAATGTGCACGGATCCATGCACCAGGGCACTAGTAGTTATATACTTA